TTTGAATAGTTGAGTGGGTTGGTCCGGTGGAACAATGTTGTTCTTATAACTCAATACTGAAGCCTTCACTTCAAAAGGACTCTTATTCCCGAACGTGAGGACTGCAATTGCATGATGACCTTCCTTTCACTTTGAAATCACTACCAATTCGTTTGCCAGCATACGATTCTTTAGTTCTTTGCTTGTTCGTATTGGGAAGCAAGCAGATTTCCTATGGAAAGAAAGTGAGTCAGCGGGTGGGGTTGAGATTCAAAGGGCTTTTAAAACCTCTTCCTAGCTCTGTGGGAAGGTTTCCTGTTTGTGTGCCTAGGTTGAGGAATCGAATGTAGGGGGCAAAAAGAAAGAAGGGAAAGACCCCCTTCCCCTCCTGGTGGCTAGGCTAGTGCAACAGGCCAAGTCGGGAGCTACTAGGAGGTTTTGGATCAAGGATGGGCTCTTGATCACCAGAGGGAATTGCCTCTACGTGCCCAAGGTTGGAGACTTAAGGAAGGAGATCTTAAGGGAGTGCCATGCGGCTGGTCACCCACGGAGGACACTGGCCCTTATAGCACGAGGTGACTACTGGCCAAAGATGGAGGAAGAGGTTTCAGGGTATGTGAGAACTTGTCGTCTTTGTCAGCAGGACCTTGTGGAGCGAGCTAAACCAGCGGGTTGGAGCCATTGCCTATACACCAGAGAGACCGGGCAAGTGTATCCATGGATTTCATTGCAAGCTTGCCGGGAGGATGGACCACCTAGTAAAGGTTGTACTAGACATGAGTTCTCTGCCATCTTCACCCCAGCCCCTACTAACAGTACTGCAGAAGAAGCTGCAAGATGATTTGTAAAAGATGATGTAAAGTACTAGGGCATACCCCGGACCATCATCAGTGATAGGGACCCTAGGTTCACTGGGAGGTTCTGGACAGAAGTGTTCAAACTCCTAGGGTCCAAGCTCAACTTCTCCACAAGCTTCCACCTAAAGTACGAGCTTCGTCCTTAGCCCGGAACTCGTTCAACGCTAGAGAAGTAAGGATTCAGTCTCGCTTCATCGCTCGCTTGACTGAACTCGTTAGAAAAAGAGAGGCAAAAAAGGGATTCCCGGGTATAAGGAATATAGAGGGTTAGGATCACGAGACTTGAGGGAAAATGAAGAGGAATAAAGAACCTTATTAGGCTTAGGCTTACAGCAGGAACTCGAATAACACCGGACTATCTCGACGAAAAGGCCTGACAAGGGAAGGAGGTGAATACTCGAAAGCCAAAGATAGATCTATTTCGTCTCGTCCCTTAGTCCCGTCAGTAAACATTTTTTTCTTCTGGCCCGACCTTAGTTGAGTGCCGTCAGTCAGTGGGAGATACTTCCTGAACCCTTCGTTCAGTCGATAGTTGTGTTTTAGGGTCTTAAGTACTGTAGCCGCTTCCCCGCTTTCTGTTCGTTCAGTCGCCTCACTAACTCCGTGAAGCGCGCCCTCCGTTTTCTCGCTTGTTGCCCCCGTTTGCTGTAAGCGATCCATCTCTTCTCCTTTAAAGCGAGAAGTACTAAACGGACCTTAAACTAGAGCCAGGAGACAGATCCTAATACTGAATACCCACACTCGAGGAACAGGCCAACGTAGCTTACGGGCAAGTCGATCAGAGCAAGGATCAAAGAAAGACGTTAGAGCGAGTACAGGTTTAGTTCCATCTATCTCTTTCGGGAAAAAGGCGGGTACGCTCAAAAGTGAAGTCAGTTAGTGGAGCCCGTTACTGTTAGTCAAGTGATTCGGTCAGTAAACGAAAAAGGAAAACCCCTTCTTTCAAGTCAAGTGGAAGAAAAAGACAATGCGCTTCTGGCGAACAGAATCTATCCTTTCGGCTCAAGGCTCAGTGCTCGGTAGGTCGTAGATAAAACGGTTAGTTGCGTTACGGGGGTCGAGGGCGACTTTCCAGAATAGACCTTGAAAGGCTGACTTTCAAGAGTAGCCCTTCCACAAGCGAATGGAAAAGGGAAAAAGGTACCAGGGAAGCAGTTCTTGGGCTAATATAGGTCCAGCTGATCAGAGGGAGGAAAGGGCAGAGTGGTTTGATGAATGAACTCTTCCTTGCAGTCCTATTCGCTCGTAGAAATAGAACAGAGAGAGGCTCGGGTTAAACGAAACCGTTGTTAATGCTTGTAGCTTGCGTGTATGAGGGTAAATAAATGCCTGAGGCATTTATTTCTTATGCGGTAAAGACAGAGTCACTGAAGGTATCTGAGGAAGGGAGAGCGACCGAGTCAGTAACCAGTCCGAACAGGCTATCTTCAAAAAACATATCTGTCTAGTCGTCCCAAAAAGCGGTAGCGAAGGGGCTGGTAAGACGAGCGAGAGCGGTAACTACTGTGAGTGATTCAAGGCGTGCCGGTTAGATCAAACGGTGAATTTAAGTCGCCACCACAAGTCGTCAAACTAATGGAGACCCGGTTCCATCAACCTAATCCAGAGATGGAACGTAGAGCAACCCAATCAAAGATAGCCGGTGAGACCTACTCCTACTCTCCGGCTTGTTTGGGGAGAGAAGCACTAGCGGATCTCCCGGCAGAAACGGACAGGCATGAATGAGACATCTACATTTTGTTTGCCCGGGGGGCTTACAGAGGCATTCAACTTGACGGGGAGGGACTGAAAATGTGATTGATAAAAGGGCTTTTGAAACTCGATTTGTCGCAACAAGAGGTATTGTCTCCGCCTTTTCAAGTAGGGATCATCTCTCAAGTGTTATGATCCTCCGCTCGGTAGTGGCCTAAGGCTCAATGATTGATCTTCTGCGCTAAGGCTAGCATCTCATCCCATATAAAAATTCCTGCTTTTTTGTCATATATGCATGCTTTATGCTCTAGAACATAGCTTACCATGCACTGACCTCAGCCATGTGTGAGCTTATCTCTGGTTTCTGACCTTGACCGAAAACTTGATTCTTATAGATTCTTCAGATCTCAGACTGAGAACTTGATTGCTTTCTCCATAACCTTAGCTACAGATTGGATATTTTTGTTTTCTTGCATAAAGGATCGAGATCGAATTTACCGGAGATGTGAAAGTCCCGGTTGCAGAAGCTGAGGCAGCGGATGCAGCTCAATCAACTCCTGAGGATGTAGTGGATGAGGCGGTTACTGCCATGGAAGTGGATAGGGGGCCAATCCTTGATGAGCAACCTGTTGTGGATGAAGCGACAATCGAATCTTGAGTGCCCAAGCAACTGATGTAACTGAAGAGCATGTGGACGTTCTGAAAGAGGTCCTTGATAGCATCGAGGTAGAGGTTCCCGGTAGGACAGAAAGAGAGAAGATAGCAGAAGAGATTCCAGCTTCGGTTGGAATCAATGAATCTGCTGCAATGGAGATGGAGACGGGTGCGAAACCAGCCTCTGAGATACCTGGTAAGTATCAAATAGAATCGAATTTATTCACATGCTTGCATGCAAATCTTTTTTCTCTGCTTCACTTGTGATTGCCTTTGCAGCAATTGATGTCAATATTCCAGGAGATTTCAATCTCTTGCTGATGATGAAAGAGAAACTTCCCCTCCTAGGATGGAGGAATCAGCAACGAAGATCGTCGGAAGAAAAAGAGAATCCGGCCTTAGCTTAATAGGAAGACTTTCTACAGTGTCAAGTCTCAAGGAAGAAAACCTGACTTTGGGGACTTCTCCCGCCGAAGGGAATCTAGGGTGGCAGCATCAATCAATCCCTGAGTTCTTGACAACTATCCCCAATGAACAACTTAGCTTAATAATATCATGATAATGATTGCAAATTGGTCCTTAGACAGGCTTGTCTCGCTTACAGATACTAGGGTTGAGCCAGAAATGGAGAAAGATGTTCCCGGGCCCGCGACTCCGGAAGTGCAACAACTCATGAAGTTGCGAAAGAAGAAGTCAACATCCTGTGAAGCGACAACCATACAAGTGAGGTTGTTTTTTGGCAAACAGAGGCAAGCTCCAGCGACGGAGAGTTCATCGACTTCCTCTCTTTCTTATGATAAAGAAGTAGCTGATGATGTCGCCGAGAGATCACCAGAATAAGAGCAGGCTGCAGCGACGGAAAGTGACAAAACAACTAGCTCTTCAGAAAAAGGTTGAGTAAAGTACACCAATAACCGGGGAGCAAGCCCCGAGAGGTCATCTTCCCCTAATAGGGATATTTCTTCGGCAGCAGGAGAACATACCATATCTGCTACAAGAAGCGAAACTGACCCTAGTATGCCGGCTTCTTCTGAACCTTCTCATACCAGGGCACCCATTAGCATTAGCTTAGGGAGCGCTTCACAACACAAGCTACTTAAGATCCGAGTAATGTTCCTTGGCTAGATGACACAGCTTCAGAAGAAAGAATAGAATGCACCATCAGAAGAAGTGTTGACAATGGTCTTTTTAACCGCAAGGAAGCAAAGCTATAGCTATGAAGGCTTGGGACGGCATTTATAGCCACCGACACTGAAAGGGCTGCAGGCGTAGACATGTCGGCATGGAAGCTCTCACATCGCAGGTATCTGCTGCAATCCGTGAATTCAAGGCGTCTCTGCCATACCAGTGAAAAGTATGCCGAAGAGGTTCAACGGCAAGTCGCCGAAGCTAGTGCTGCTATTGAAGAAGCTGCAAATCGCCAGAGGGAATATTTCGCTGCTGACGAGGCTGCTGCAACAGCTGAAAGCAATAATTGATGCACACCTAGAATTCTGAGCAAATAGCAAGGCACGGGGCTCGCGGAACATATGGCCAGTATCCGAGAGCACGAAGAAGATATAATCAAATGCAATCGGCGAAGCCTCGCAACAGAGGATGAGAAGAGGTCTCAAAAGCTCAGGAATCCCATCGCTACACTCGATAACACACTCACTAAACGACTAAACGAAATACAGCAAGCATATTCAAAAGTAGACGTACCCATACGGAACTACAGGCCGCGGATTTCAACAGAATTCTGCGCAGCAACACAGCCAACTCAAAATCTTAAGGAAGAGGAAACCAAAGCAAAGAGGACGAGGTCGACGAGAAGGCCAA